TTTTTGCTTGTGTCCATACTTGTGTTGCTAGATATTTATATAAACGGCATTCAGAATTATCAACAATATTGATTAGTTAATAGGTTTAGAGGTGATAATGGCTTAGAAGCTTCATATTTCGAGGGGTTGATTGCGTGAATTAGGAAAAAAAAAATCGGTTTTGAGAACAATAATTATTCTGATCGTAAGTCATGGCCCGTAACACCATATGCACTATTCCGAGTGTCGAGAGGGTTATTTGGTAAATATTCAACAATATAGAAGAATGAACACTGGTTTTAAATGCTGAAATAACAATATGTTGCGTAATAGTTGATATGCTTTAGAAAACTGGATATTTTAGTGTGGAATGGATGAGTTGTTTAAAAGTATGTTAATGAAGATCTTAGTAAGAATGCTGACCTTCTTGATCGGACAATATATGGTCCATTACCCTGTATGACGCGGCAGCATGTGTAACAATCCGAACTGAAATGTACTTCTATGAACAGAACACAGCAACTCGTACTGCAGGGATCGTTGTCAACTCAGGTACTGCACAAATGTACGCGAGCGCGACAATGGTAACGGTGTTGTATTCAAGATTGTAGGGTATCATGGTAAACAGTACACTTGCAAGCGGCATATTGCACACGCGACTACGTTTCCGAGACAACGAAACTGAAAATGGTTTTGTGCTTTGGGAATAGACAATTTATCTATTCCCACGTTAAGGTTCATTTTTGTGTATATGTGCTTATGATGAAGTCTGACTTGTACAATGGACTGTGCTTTTAGAAGATATTTCTCATGGTTCTTGACGGGCTTTTGTCACTGTTATTTCAAGGATATAATGCATGGCAGTCTATCCCCGATAACCTAGGTGAAGTCGGGAATCGTGCCTATCAGTCACTATCGTCAAAGATACGAATGTGAATACTACCGCAACGTTCCTCAAAGAATGAAGTCACTGCATTGTAACTTGGCTACTTGACGTCCTACCACTGTATCATGTCATCAATGGAATGTCGCGGCACGTTTAAAATTGAGGGAAATACGTGAACACGCGCGGTCGATTTGCGAAAGAGGTGAGGTGAGGTGAAATTGAGTTTAACGTCGCGTCCAAGATTATTGCACTTATATAGCGACGTGCATGCACGTGTATGTGTGTGTGTGGCTGCTTGTACTAGTCCGGACTGATGCCGATTTATAGTGCTAGCTCACTGAGATACCATGCCGCAGTTTAACATGAATACCCCACTCAGACACAGTATACTGACTCCGAGCCGACCAGTCCTTGTTTTAGCCCCTTAATGCCGAGCGCCAGACAGGGTAACAACAAGTACAATCTTTTAACGTCTTTTTGTATGACGCGGCTCGGGATCGAACCCTGGACCTTCCGCTCTCCGGGCGGACCCTCTACCACAAGACCACGGAGGCGGTCATTTTGCGAAAGAAATAGCACACGAAACATTTTATCTCTGCCTGGTTAATATATTTTAAAAGGCTAAATGCAATTAATGATACGTATTAACGAAAGTATTAACACAGTAAGGGATTTTCCCAATTGACAAAGTGTGTATTTGGTTCCGTAGTTGGTGCAATAAAATGCAAACTTACCCACCTTCTCTTCTATTTGGACTGTCCAATAAATATTTGGAGAAAGTAGCCACTTCTCACACTGTACCCATGCAAAAAAATTAACCCGAGGGGTGCATGGTACCGCGCTAACTACTCGGCTGTCCATCCCATGGGCACATTCTCAGAGATGTTTTAAACATTTATAATTTTTTAATTTGAAGTTTACACGATATACGGCTTTTCCATAGGACGAGAGGTCGGTCACATGACCGCGAATTTGACGATCATAAGTGTATGAACGACACAATTTGACGTTCATACGTTTTTCACGAGACCGTGTTCTTGAAATTACGTAAACTCTGACGGACTACTTCCACATTCCTGTGGAAATCCCTTGGAATTCCCCAGCACGAAAACATGCATAAGCGTTCTATCCGATCTTTTAGAACCTTTATTCTTGGTCTCAGCGTTTCAGTGTCCATTGAGAAATGTCAGAGAGCGTGACTGCATGATTATTCACGAATATCCTCGCTACGGCCCATTCTAATAATCAAACGAAGAAATGCACATCTAAACTATCATAGTATCGACTCGATCCGTGCCTAGGCTGACATTGACCGTCGTCTCCAGCAATCTTTGAATTTACCTTTGTCTGTTTGACGCATCTTTATTCACCTTTCAATGATCGGCCAGTTGATCAATGATGACTAACACATGTAACCGCCACAGGTCCATTAACAACTTCGGAAATCTCTCCCGTCACGTTTATCGTGTCGGCCATTTTGACGTCTTGTACTTGATGTAAATGTATTACGACGCGCTGTCATTGTGACTGACTTACTGAGGTAGTTCTTAACAGACCTTTCTCATCTAATGAGGATATGATTTGAACACATGTGCTGCGTAAGATGTTTCTGAAGAGCAAGTTGTGCATCCATACGCCCATGTCACCTTTCTTTTTGAGGAACTATTTTACTCCGCGATATAGCTGGTTGTTGTATGGCTGTCAGGGTAAACATAAACTCATACGTACTAAATAGAATTGTGTTAAAACCTTGGCCTACATCCTTTGAGGTAAGAAATTGTGATAAAAAAATTATCAAGCTCCGACGTTCATACAGTTTAGCCGTCACTCTATGAAGGTTCATACTCCAATGAACTCACACAAAGTGAGACCCGTGAAGATTCGGGGGTAGAATAGGTCTTCAGCAACCCATGCTTGCCATCAAAGGCGACTATGCTTGTCGTAAAAGGCGACTAACAGGATCGGGTGGTCAGGCTCGGTGACTTGGTTGATGCATGTCATCGGTCTCAATTGCGTAAATCGATGCTCATGTTGTCAATCACTGGATTGTCTTGTCCAGACTCGATTATTTACAGACCGCCGTCATATAGCTGGAATATTGTTGAGTGCGGCGTTAAACAACAAACCAAACCAAACCATTTTATATCTGATGCAGCCATTCGTGATGCTTCAGTGATATATCTTCACTAGCATCGATGCTAACGAATGCTGTATCTATTGCCTTTTTAAGTAAATAAGGTACTTCATCTGATGACAAACCATACCTAAAGTTGTGAGTTGGAGATGTGATCACTCAGCGCGTGAGCGTATGTCAAATTTGCTGCATATATTAAACAATTCAGATGAACATTATATTATATAATCAACCACGCTAGCACCTTGATTTCCTATAAACATGAAATCCCCTACACCCGCGTCTGATCCAGATCTTTTATTCATAATATGGATGTCAAGAATACTGCACATATCCAAAAAATATTTCCCAAACCTGTATACAGTTGAATCTACCGAAAATCGTTTTATGTTAAAACTATCCAACATAGAATCCCACATGTAGTTACCTCCCAAGTATTCAAGGATATGGTCTTCAACGAAATCAGGTAGTGTGCCAGTTCTAGAGTTAAAATCACCTCCGATGACAACATACACATCATCACATTTATAAAGCATATTCAACAGATCTTCTTGTAATAGTGATATGCCGTTTTTACATTGATGAACAAAAAAGTCATGTAACAGGTTATTATACCAGGTATACTTATCAAGAGTTCTCAAACACACTAACTCACACATATTGGCCATTCCATTGATGTCAGAAGGTTCTAGCCATGCGGGTGTCCATGCCCCTGCCCTTTCTGTAGCAACCGTCATCTTTGAAGGTTGAGGTCACAATACAAACAAAAGAAGAAAAGCGACACACGGTTCTGTGTTTTCTTGATTTAAGAAAAAGACGAATCGGCACTGCCAAAAGTCCCCATAAATGAACACTTGCAAAACAGTTTATGTTCTGTCCAACGCTTCTTAATATATATTGACCACACCATGTTACTGAAATCCTTGCTTAGACAGGGCACGCTACATTCCCATGACAATTTTTAATGACAGATATTAACATAATAAGAACTTCAATCACCGGGGCGACAGATCAATGGCGACTGAAGCCTCATGTCACTGAAGCACGTCTGTGATCCACTTTTTCACACAATGTGAACACTCTGGGCCAGTTTGCTGAGGAACACTGTCTGGAAGACCCCAAGAGCACAAAAGATGAGTTTGAATTTTGGATAAAATTAGGATAATTTCCGAACGTGCTTGAAGAAAAACTGGATGATCGATATTTGATGCAGAATACACAACTGTTATAACTACCGCTTAAATATAGATGAGATGAAGTGAAATGGGTTTAACATCACTTTCAAGGATATTGTACTCATATAGCGACGTGAGCGTGCATGCGTTCGTCTACGAATCCGGACTGGGGGACTAGTCATTACTATAGTGGGGTGAGCCGTGGAGATGAAGGGAGTCATATGTGTTTTATAATGTAGTTTATTTCCGATATTATTTCTTGACTCTTCTCCCCTTTAAAAAAAATGGACTGATCACAAAAATGGCAAGTGTCGAATGACGTAGTTTCTTTTATGACGTCATTCCGACTCTCCGCCACAATGAGATCCGAATCACGTGCTGTCCAGATGACGTTATCAATACACTGGTGCGCGTGAAGTGATATTTACTTAAGGCCAAATACCATTTTTATTGACTCAGTTACTTCTAACCGTATAGGGGGCTCGGGTGGCCCAGTCGTCTAAGGCGCCGCGATTCGCTTTGCAGAGTTGCGTCCATTGGGCACGCCAGAAACCTATGATTGTGGGCTCGAATCCCGGTTCGACACGATTATGTTTCTAGGTTTGTCAGCACCATACCCGTGCTCGTGGGTTTCACCGAAGTGGTAACGCCTGAGTCTTGCATCACTTCGGGCTTTCCTCCCACATTAAGGAGACACGCCGCGATATAACTGTAATACTGTTAAAAGCGGCATTAAACCCAACTCACTCACTCACTCACTCTAACCGTATATATACATGACATGATGCACACCTTCAACATGTTTTATTTCTTAATAGTTGATCCATGTAAACATTTTTCAAAACTCAAACTGTTTGCTCCTCTCAGTTCACTTTTAACTGACTTATTCACTATGAGAACGTGCACAGTGGTATAAACTATTTACCATCAATACATATTCATACAACGTGTGTAGTATCTATCAATAGGTCTTAACTCATCACCGCGCATATGATTAATTTTTCGAATCTTCGGGATAGTCCCCAAGTTCCCATCATCCATCATGGCTTCACAACAAAGACGTTAGTCAGGCTTGAACTGTAGAATCACCACAACGTACGTCAGCATAGTTCCAGTAAGCTGAAGATAGAAACATATACTGCTATAGGAGTGAATGAGTTGGCTTTAATGCTGCTTTGAACAGTATTCCAGTTATATCACTGCGTGTTAGATTACTGTGGGAGGCAATCCCAAAGTGAAAGAAGTCTCAGACGTTTACCAATTTTGTGAAACCCACGTGCACGGGTATGGTGTTGACAAACCTAGAATCACAATCGGGGCAAACAGGGATTCGAACCAACAATCATAGGTTTCTGGCGTGAGTAAGGGACGCAACTCTCGCCTTGAACGACAAGGCCACCCGTGCCCACCATCAATACCTGAACATAAAGTCACCAACACTATTGTAGCGTGCATCTCGTAGCGATAGGCATTCATTTTGCATCCATTAGGCTTAGGATGATGTTATTGACAATGATTTCAACATACCATTATTTAATAAAAAATTGCATGGCAATGCAATTCAATATTTGTGAGTATACAACGTCAACGCCAGATAATTACAATTTTCTATATATAAACATTGAAACTACTGGTGTGGTGAGTATTTGATGTAGTTACGGCTTTTCAATCATGATGGTTCTAATGGAACTCTTATCTTCCACATTGTTGTATTTTCCGTAATTATACAGCCATATAAAAAACAAATACACCATGATGGCTTCGTCAGTGCCAGATCTGTGTGTGAGAATTACGGATGATAGAAACAGATAGGATAATCGCCGTCCCTGTTTGGCTTCATTTCATGTCATAAGATAAAATCAAACATTATTCGTAAAACAAGTAACACGAAATCACGAAACGTAGGCGCCAATTAAATCTGCTGTATCCTGATCCGCTGATCCATCCATTTGTGATATGATGATATTCGGAATCATTTCTAATGAGATATGCTACAGCCATAAACAATAAGATAATGTAAGTAGTGCCACTGATCATGAGAAATGACGAAGCTTACACAGCTGATCACAGTTATCCAACTTAAGTAAATATTTCATGAAACAATAAATGATATGCCTGAAAGATGTTATCATCCCTTTCCAAGTTGACTTCACAAATGCTATTTGGGAGTTCTAAGGTAACCATTGGTAAGCTGTATTAAATACACCTTAGCAATAAACAACCACCACTGTATTAACAAGTGGTTATTGAAAACACAAAACGTTTATGGATAACAATTTTTGTATTGTTTGTCACGAAGTTTCAGGGCCACTTCTTGCCCCTCGTCAGGGGACTACTGAGTAAGGGTATTGAGTTAATTAATATCTGTTTACATAAGGTAGGATTACTGTACAGAGATATAAAAAAACGAAGAAGTCAATAATGCTACCTTTTGTGTCACACAAAACTGACACCTATCTTCACCTTCTGTAATGAAATGCGATGCTGACAGGGCGACCCATTGTCTCCTTACCTATTCCTGCCGGTTGCGGACATTTTGAGATTAATGAGTCGAACTGCTAATGCAATAAAAGGTATCAAACTGAATCATGTGGAACTTGGACACTATTATGGTGATACAGAAATATTTTTTGTACATGGGACAGTCACTATCAATTAAACAAAACGTTCACAAATTAATTTGGCATGGTCAAAGGGATAACATAAAACATTAACTCGAAAATATGATGATTGAGGACTGAGAATGATAGAAGTAAGGGCCATTATAAATTCTCAAAAAATGTCAGTTATCGTAACAAATCTTCATTACAAAACTGTTATAACCTAACATACTTCCACGAAACAACATATAATTCCACTTGGAGACGACATAAAAAATACATTGGACACATATATATGGTGAACAGTTTACAGAACATATAACATGAATTTTACAAACCTTGCAGAAGTACTATCAGAACCTCATTGGTGTAACCATCAGTGAAAAAAATATTATAAGGAATTGTTTTCATAATCGAATAAACACTTTGAATGAAACTCTACAATGATGATGGAAAAATGCCTTTCAATCAACTTAATACCAGATTAAATTCACAATTAGTGATTATTACCAGTTTCTATCAAAGATACCAAGTTTTACCAGATATGTTTGTAATAAAATCATAACTACAGTATCTGAAAAATGGGAGAATATTCTTGATGTATCATGGGAAGATATTTTATCAGTTATAGAAAATGAACAAAATATGTCAAATTACTGGCTTTCAAGTTCAAATGTAGCCATCGCATCATCTATACAAACGCATGATTAATGCTCATTCTGTGACACTAATTCTGAAACCTTACTCTTTGTATATTGGGATTGTAAACATGTTTTGGGCCAAAGCAGAATATTTTCTGAATGCAAAGTAATAAACATTCATAAAATGTCCATTCTGCATGAGTACAAGTCTGAGGTTCTTTCATATTGGCATGTAGTAGTGTATGTGCATGCATCCAGTATCAAGACAATTAAACTGTAATTTGAAAACTTGATAAAGGTTTTTGCAGTATATTTCGGACAGACGGTTTGATCGAAAATGAGACCAGTTATTTCTTCTTTCTGTTTTGAATACATGTATGATCATTTTTCGCCACTATGTTGTAACTACACATCTTAACATTCCATGAATAAGAATCCCATTCAGCATGGCATATATAACCTGCTGCTTTTACCACCTGTTGACTGAAGATGCACACTTGTGTCCTGTCCTTCTTCCCAGGTACCTATTTGATGTACATGTATGTAACCTAGAGTTTGGACCTGGCATCAATGTCATTGAGTAGGTTAAACCTGTTTTTTTGTGCACATTGGTAATGTGTTAATATCAATTAATCTTAAACAGTCGGTTCCAGATAGAGGATGCAACGGCTGTGGCCCATCCATCTGACGCTATCCCGAAAAGTATGATTTAATTGGAATTCAAGATTTGTCATCTCATGGTGACCATACGGTAAACGTCTAAGACCTGCATTAAGCATTAATACATTAAGCTTACACTCCATCATACTAGTAGAGGTTATGTAACTAATATGATAAATATTACAGGATAAGTCACTTACGTTAATTTCCTCTCATTGAAATTTCAAACAAGGCGCAGCACTCCATTCAACTTTTTATTTCAAGCAGTTCTAGTAAAAATAATTGTATCGCTAAGAATTATGTAATGTAAGATTTCACCAGTTTCGAAAATGTGAAATGATGAAGATGGTTGAGTTCCCAAAACAAATTCTTCATGCGGGTTAAAACTGTAAAACAACCACTAAAATGTTTGCAAAGACGCAAAATGTGAGCATTTGATTAATCATTCGCCACATAAGCTTGGTTGGTTTGTTGGTTTGTTTGTTGTTTAACGCCGCAATCAGCAATATTCCAGCTATATGACGGCGGACCAGACAATCCAGTGATTAATATCAAGAGCATCGATCCACGCAATTGGGATTGATGAAATGCATCAACCAATTCAGCTACCCTGACCAACCGATCCCGTTAGTCGCCTTTTACGACAAGCATAGTCACCTTTTACGGCAAGTATGGGTTGCTGAAGACCTATTCTACCCCGGAATCTTTGTTGGTAAATAAAAAAAACTTGGTTATCTAGGGTCTACTTAATATATCTGATTGTCATCATGTAACGTTTTGCCTGACGGTCTACCTTTTACCAAAGAATAAAACACTTACCATTAGGATTGTCGAACAGTCAATTGTGAAGAGGTTGTATACTGTATACCCTATTTTTGTGGTTGTGAGTCTTGTGATGAAAATGTTGACCTGAAATAAAATCCAATTGCAAAAATGATGACATCATCAATGAGTCATTTCTAAAGGAATCGTTAGATGGAAAATGTGAGATAGCAGTGTGCTTCCACCTACAGTGATATTGTCAAGAGAGGTATGCACTAAGGACTGAAGGTGCACCCCATGATTGCCGCAAAAGGCGACTATGCTTGTCGTAAAAGGCGACTAACGGGATCGGGTGGTCAGGCTCGCTGACTTTGTTGATGCATGTCATCGTTCCACCCAATTGTGTGGATCGATGCTCATGATATTAGTCACTGGATTGTCTGGTCCAGACTCGATTATTTACGGACCGCCGTCATATAGCTGGAATATTGCTGAGTGCGGCGTTAAACAACCAACCAACCAACTGAAGGTGCATCCTGTGCCGCATCGTGCTGTGTACAGAGATGTGTCCTTCATACCGCAAAGGGATCCGCATTTCGTCGGTCCGAATCCAAGTCACATTTTGATTATGACTGTTAGTGTGGAAGAACTATACGCTTACTTCTTTGTTCTCGACAGAGCATATTAAGCAGAGGCTGCACCTTTTGGAAATACTCCCAGTGTTTACAAACTTTAAAGAAAATACATGAACTGAAAAAGAATTACAATGGGGTTTAAACTGTTTATGGCAGGGTACTAATGTTAAGCTTAGGGAGAAATAAATAGTTCATTGCATCTTGCACAATGCGCAGTAAATACTTACAATGTTTAAACTTGTAGCTGAAAGCTCAGCAAAGTCGGCCATCAAAAGATACATCAGTGAGGAATGCGCCTGTAACAATAAACATGATATTGTTAGTAATTTGGGCAATGAGAATTGATTACAGCTGCATTCAAAAGCCATTCAACCTGAATCACAATGACCCATATGGAAGTTGAACTGTTTGGGTTTAGGTTCACCAACTATTCAAGTAATGTTGACAGCGACTGATCATGAGTATGGTTACCGCTGCATTTAAAAGCGATTCCATCTAAACCACAATGACCATTGTTAAACTGTTTGGACCATGATCACCAATTATTCAAGGTCCCTCGCCTTGGGGTATGGTAATTTACTTACAATCACACATTGTTGGAGATATACACTGACCCGTAAACCGTACTGTGGATTTAAGATTTACAGTGGTATGGATGAGTCAACAATCCAATGACATTGACGTGGTCTGTGAAGTTTGTATCCTGGTATAGATACAGTGTTCTCCCGATTATGATTCTAGATTTTCAAGCACCATTCTGATGCTTGTGAGTAACACAAAAGTGATAAACGCCGTGTTTCTCTTCATTCCACCAAGGGGCGGTCTGGCAGCCTAGTGGTTAATGTGTTCGTTCGTCACGCCAAAAACACGGGTTCGTTTCCTGACATTGGTGCCATATGTGAAGCCCATTTCCGGCGTCCCCCGCCGTGAAATTGCTTGAATATTGCTAAAAGCGGCGTAAAATCATACTCACTCACTCGCTAGCTCATCCCACCAAAACTGACACTCCATGTGCAAAGCACACGCTCACCTGCTTCCTAACAATGTAAGATGTTATAATACGTACCTTGATGTTCAGGGCCACTGACGCCAAAAGGGTTGTAACGACAAGGATAACAAAGAATAGTATACAAGTTAGCAACATTGTATATTCTTTCTTCATCAATTCATCCTTTATCAAACCATACAGCATAAGACAGATGATGGGAACCGAAGCAATATAGCCTGATCCGATCATATGCCTGAACACTTTGTCAACCGTGCAAACTAGAGAACACGTGTCTTCAAACTGGCGACGTATTCTTTCAAGATATGACTTCTGTGCATCTCCCTCTTTGCTACCAAACAAACTGGTTAACTCAGCGTTTAGCTGTTTGAACTCCTTGAACAGGCAATAGGTAAGAACACAGAAAAATGCCAGGGTAAATACTGCCTGTATCACAATAAGGTAATACGCAATAAAAAATATAGCTTTGACGACAGGGAAATACTCCCGTGGAAGCAGTTTCATCGGTTTTAGATACATGACAGCTGGGTCGACATTGTGAAGTAACATAAAGTACAAAATTGGCACACAAATTATAACTACAAACGCAGCAGGGAAAAGAAACAGTCTGGTATTGCGCCTGAGAGCTGGGCTGTCCATCGTTGAGGCATGCGTGTCTCTGTATGAATCATACTGTCGGAAAAACTTGTGCAGGTGCTTGTGTACACCGAAACATGTTGCGCTGCCAAAATACATACCAATGGACTGAACTCCTGCGTAGGATAATACTGCCATCCATGATTCCACAGTATAAACCTCATTTGTGTAGCGAATGAAAAACCGACACAAGGTTGACCATAACACGATGTGAATGAAGACAGAGTAAATGATACTCATTGCATTGGACATTCTTCCTCTCTCAATTGGCATGTGCAAACCAGCAATGTTTAGAATTGTTAAAAACGGCTTGAACACATCATATATATGTACGGTATTTCCACATTTCTCTACGTCAGTATCAAGTGAGGATACCTTTGAAACAAACATCCCCGCTGAATGACAAATTCAAGATTGAGATGCCAGTGTGTTCAACTGCACTCTCACACCGTAGATCTCTATTATGTGTGTCTTGCAAGAATAAGGTCCAGCTTTATATGTCCAGTAAATGTCAAGCAATTATTATGTATTCCAACGAACAACCCATTATTTGAAGACACTTAGGGTAAAAGGTTGGTTTAAACATATTTATTTTCACAAAAGTGTGAAAATGGATTGGTAAACAAGCGAAACGCTTCTGTTAATACCGCTCCATTACACATAGGACATATTACACTGAATACATAAAGGAAGGTTAGATGTAACAAATAAATTGTACATGCCAAGCTAGATGTGTACATATTATAAATCTATTTGCAGTTTATTTTAAACAGGCTGTGAGAGCTCGGTATAATTGTTCGCTAAATAATTAAAACAATGGTCAATAAAATGCATCCCATATAATAGAACGTTTCCAGGTAGTCAAGAGCCATGTCAACTCAATTTGCCAGTTGCCGTTTGGCGCAGGATGAGGACAATGTAATCGCAAAAGAACTTAAAATCAGGAATAGTCTATTAAATGTCAAAAGGGTAACTGTTGATACCCTGTACCCAACAGTATCTGCTGTTTGTTATTTTTATTCATGTTGTTATGTGTACAAGTTGATATTTGAACGGAGGGGTGCAAAACGGTAGAATGATATTTGTCTAGGGAGATAATTTTTGGATGTCAACTTCTTTATAATGAGGAACACAATGTTTCAGAGTATATGCTTACTTCTTCATCAGGTGAATGAATGGTTTGTTTGGGTTTTAACGTATACTTTCTGACATATGCGATTTGTGAAAATCTTGTGATGACACCAGGTGTTCGCCATTTCAGAACACATCCTCAAGAACCAAGACCATAACATCATGTGAAAAGCCACCAAAGTTTTCTGTCTAGTAACAACAACAACTGGCGACAAAGAAGACAACAAGAAGCCATCAGGAGACACCAGCCAGCCATGAACCGTGACCATGGAACCTATCTGCCTTGTGCTTAGGACCTATTGCTTTCTGTCGGTGCCAATTATCTAGCTGGCTCCCATTTGCCCTTTGTTATTTCTATTCTTTTACCTGTCAGTGCTAGTTACCCCCGGCCTCCCGTTTGCCCATGCATTGTCCATTGCCAATTACCAATCAGTTATAATTTAGTCCTGGCTTCCAGTTGTCCATAACTATCAGCGCTAATTACTGTAAAGTGTTGGCTTCCATTGTCTATTGCTGATCACCAATCAGCGCCAATTATCTGTTGGCTTCCATTGTTAAGTTTCCACCTTTTGTTATCTTATTACTTTTGTTGTTCTTACATGTACATATATGCTCTCTGCCTCGTAGCATTCGCCCCTTTCGGAAACACATTAAATGGCCTGGCCGGGCCCGTGTGCGAAATACGCATCAGTCGGAAAGCGCATGTAAGTAAGTAAGTAAGTAAGTAAGTAAGTAAGTAAGTAAGTAAGTAAGTAAGTAAGTAAGTAAGTAAGTAAGTAAGTAAGTAAGTAAGTAAGTAAGTAAGTAAGTAAGTAAGTAAGTAAGTAAGTAAGTAAGTAAGTAAGTAAGTAAGTAAGTAAGTAAGTAAGTAAGTAAGTAGCATTCGTTCACCTGATGGCATATACTCCGAAATGTTGTGTTCCTCATAATAAAGAAGTTGACACCCATAAAGTCTCTGATCCGTGAAGATTCCGGGATAGAATAGGTCTTCAGCGACCCATACTTGCCGTAAAAGGCGACTATGCTTGTCGTAAAAGGCGACTAACAGGATCGGGTGGTCAGGCTCACTGACTTGGTTGATACATGTCATCGATCCATATTGCGTGGATCGATGCTCATGATGTCAATCACTGGATTGTCTGGTCCAGACTCGATTATTTTACAGACCGCCGTCATATAGCTGGAATATTGCTGAGTGCGGCGTTAAACAACAAACCAACCAACCATAAAGTCTCTTCCTTATGTGTATCACTTCTAAACGCCTTTCCAAAACTTAACATTTGTCTAGTAAGGTATATTTGGTGACAAGTGGATTTGTATGTCACACTATGGTACTGATGGGGATCATAAAGTTAAATCGGAGATAGAAAAAACAAACTCATTGAACAATTGGCAAAACTATGATTTGCGTATTGTATTTTTTCTTTAGACCCGTGGGGATTCCTGGATAGAATAGGCCTACAGTAACCTATGCCTGTCGTGAGAGGCAACAAAATGGATCTAGTGGTCAGGCTTGGTGATTTACGAATCATCGTTGCCTGCTGGCTGGGGACATTGCATTATCTTACATTCAGTTGTACACATTTTTTATATCGTTGTGTTCACTTACATACAATTTAATTGTATTCTTTTCTCAGATACAAATTGTGACAAGCTTGTTGTTTGTCTAAAATGAAAAGTGTATTCATTTAAATTGTTTTTCAATAAAATATAAAGATCTTCATTATTGAATGCTACTTATTATTGTAGTTTCACATTGTGATGCACTACAGTTTTCAATGACTACTTGGATGGGATGGTCTCGGAAACACCCTTCAAAAGTGTCATGTACAGTAGGGTCGATGCTCAATTTCCATGTGATAACGTCAATAAGTGTATGGCTATTGCAGGGCCTGGTTTAATGACACATACATGTATGCTCGTGAAAGCAATGGCATCAAGCTAGCCGTACCTTTGAGGTTATTCAGTGAGAAAATATCACCCTGCGAGTTGGAAAATGTTAACTTGATAGAGAGCAAAACAACTGAGATATATATCCATTATTGGGCGCTCAAGACATGAAATCAGTTGCAACATATTCTCGTTTGATAGCAACAATAATAAAAAAATAATGTGTTGTTTTTCATCACATTTATTGTTTGTCTGTGGTGGATAGTTATTTTACAATGTTTCTGTCCTTCACTGAAGAGCGTGAAAAAAGACAATGTTCTTTGTCGTCACTGTTTCATTTGTTGACATCTCTTTTTCGTAGCACTAAATGGATATAAACATTAATAGATTAATTCTAACATCTACACTCTATGCCGTTGATGTGTACATAAATGTCAATCAGGCTTGAATTGAAGAACCACAATGACGTAAGTCAACATTGTTCCAATGAGCTGAAGTGAAAAAGAAACATCATATCATATTCAAACTTGCGGGTGTAACGATCAGTCCAACTGAACGATAGATGAATAGCACTTGGTCGGAAGGCAGAAATGCACCAGTTGAAATGTCAAAAGTTGAGATCGATATCACTCTTCACAATCGCCATATCTTTTTCATTTGTTTTATCCATATACATATTGTTACAGAGACATGTGTATCACTGGGAAGGACATAATAAATTGCAATACTCATCAAACTCCTATAACCCGTGTAACCCACATTTAAGACTTAAAAGACTTAAAAAAAACACCACAGTACTTACCATTAGGATGGTCGAGCTGTCGACTGTGAAGAGATTATACAGGGTATACCCTATATTTGTGGTTGTTATTCTTGTAATGAAAACGGTAATCTGAAAAAGGAAAACATACATTAATAACAGCATTTGTTGTGTTACTACGGAGAGGCGCCAGGCAACAAACAAACACTTACTTTATATGCAAATTGAGTGAGTGGAGGATGCTACTGGCAGAGGATTGTTCTTTTTCGTCACTGCTTCATTTGTTGAGGCGCACCCTTTTCGCGAACACCTTGTAGCATAACTGATTTTCAGTTAACCATTCACATAATTAAGACTGCAACGTTGCCATTTAGGCCCAATGCAATATGTGTTGCAGCAGTTTTCAAAACTGATTGTTCTCAGTCGTTGACGTTTTATGTTTACCTGTTGGACATACATGTACGGCTGTTTGATCGCTATATAGTGTTTTACATTCGTGACCATTCGTTCCATTCTTGTACTACTTTCTACGTGGCTGTGCTAGTTTACGCGAATGTTTTCGTCGTCATTGTTGTTGTTGTCAACGCGCATGTTGATGGGGAATTACTCTCGGGGGAGTCAAGGACTAAATCGACATCACTGTCCCGGAACGTTTTATGCACAACATATGAACAATTAACAACAAATATATAATGAGCGGAATACCTGGGCCTAGATTTTCAAAACGATCGTAGCCCTAAACTTATCGTAAATTTATCGTAAGGAAATCGTAGGCTATCGTAGCCTATTTTCAAAACTATTGTAGCCCTGAGATATCTTAAGTTTGTCGTAAATCTAAGATAGCCCCATACCTGTCGTTAATTTATTTTATCTTCATCTAAGATGGCGGCGTACTTTGCCGTAGATATTTTGCCAAACAATAAGACAAACGTTCAAACATTGACATTTCATTTTGTTAAACTGTGTGATTCAAACTAACTTTTTGAAAACACGAAGAACGCATCAATGGTTTCACGCCAGAAATGTTCTTAATCGCGACAGCGATCCACATAACCACGGGGTCGATAGCTTTAAATATATTTCTATCTAATAATTTGGGAAGGATAAAAATGGAAGGTGTCGGCAGGCTCTATAGTAATGACCGTGACCTTATTGCCCTCAGGGGCAGCTAATGTTAGTTCATACTCTAGTTGAGAGTGGTTTCCCTTTGTATTCGCCCGGCGAGACCAAGGTTACAGTTTTCATAAAGCGCAGAGTTCCGCTGTTATATTTTCTAGATCGCATTTGTGTCAATGCTTTAGTCTTTATTTTCGCAATTTATAAAATTATATCAATCTTCATATGTAAAAAAATATAGGTTTGGCATCAGATTTTACATCTAAAATCGTATAGGACGAGCGGTTTTAACAATTGAATTTTAACTATACAGTTTAGTATTTATTGACTTAAGGCAATACTTGTGCTCAAATATTTGTATGGTATATTTAATATTTTTCTCACAAAAGTAATTGTATTTTGTTTCATTTTAAATACAATACCTACATGTAGGTTATCTGTACTACTGAAAGACACATATTTGATAACAAGTGATTAACTGTCTGTTGAACAATTGCATTCTTTATAAACAGGTGATTAACGGCATATAGATGTATTCAATTAAATATAACAATTTATTGAAATTTTGACAGTAAAAGTTAAGCACAGATTTTCGTATCGAAAAATCAAATAAAGAATTGGTTCCCATGCTCGTTCGGGTTTGAAATGTCGTCAAAAAGTAGAATAGTTTGAACATCGTCCAAAATTCACTTTCGCATATATGTTTGCAGAAAATGTTTATTGAATGAAGTTTACTGATCAATATATAGTAGACTGTTTCAACACAATAATCTTTGAATTTTGCATTCAATAAACCGATTTTAAAATAATAATTGATTATGGTCTTTTTAATATTTAAGTGTCGATCTACCCGTTTTATGTTAAAAAAATATAAAGATACTTGAGACCGTTATAGGGTCAACGTACAAATACTGGTAAATGATCCTCAGCAATGCTGTCAGACAAGCCAAACATCATCGAACTACGTTCTGGAATAGATTTGACACATTTACAATGTATTTCGCTCCTCAGCCAGATTTAAATGAAATCAGACGAATCAGTTTATTAGCTCTACTTAATTTAAAGGGATAGAAAAGGACAACATTATATGTATGTTCCCGTTAACTTGTGGCGTGTTCAATGTGACAACATAACCTGACATGACTTCTTAAATTACCTCTCTTTGCGAACGACAATTAGTGTCACTTTTAAATTTTGATAAGAATTATTGATCTAGATAGACCCACTATACATCACGTAACATCAGACTTGAACACGCATTTTAACTGCTGAACGCCTGCTGTTTAATCATCTAGTCACTGTCATTTAGAATAACGTCCCTTACTTTCGTCCTTGACTTTGAACGCAACGTGTTCACATAATGTTCTGCGCGCTCGCGAGAGGACCTTTTGAAGGGAAAATAGTGAAGTATCGTTTTGCACATTATTTCAATGTAACACTACACTTATTGATTATAACATTTATTGGGTTTGAAAAAAGCCTTTGCATGGCACACGAATGCTATTTGTGTTCGGGTAGTCATCTCTTATCATAAGAACAAATGTCTACATAAAGGACATATATAGGATTGTACGGAATGTCACTCAAATAGTTGCGTGTGACAGTGTGACCTGACAATGTGATCACGAATTCCGTGTTACTCTATATTGTTATTGCTAGCGGCGGGGAAATCCCAGTGACGTCACTGGGAAACACCCCGCTTTTTCAATCTCTAACACAAATGAGTTCTCTGTCAGAGTTACGAGCTGTGTACGATCTGCGACAGGTTTACGATAGTTTCGAAAATCTATCTTACCTTAAATTTAAGATATCTCATCTTTAAACGTAAGTTGTGAGGATTTATCTTAGCTAAGATCGTTTCGAAAATCTAGGCCCTGCTCTGACAACACAAACACAACGATGAGCAGATTTTCAAGCTCAGGCATACGTGAGGTAAGCGGAGCTCCAGCTCAATCTCAGGACGTTTCCTACGAGAGGCACATCCTGATCGAGGTCGTCCCAAAACCGTCACTAACAGTGTAATGGTAACACATATTTAGTAATGAACAACAATGGACAGACAAATAGACAATGACGTTGATCTGGACATGGGACTTATGGGGGTGATGAACCGACACAGCTCAGGGGATGAACAATTAAGGCAATAAATGTCATACTTTAAATAACAGTTATTAAGGGGAAGTGATATGCTAGCCCAGGTTGGCTGACAGTCAATATACAATGAAATGTTGGTGAGGATTAACAACGGTGAGAAGGGTCTTATATATAATGGCAATTAGGTTATGGAGACATACACATGTCATGGCTACAGGGTAATAAGTCTTTGTAATCAAATGTTCTTCAGACAATGGTTGTCCCAAATCAGTCGCTATGACACTATGAACAACCAATTAGGATACTTGTTTATAGTCAGATTGTTTAATATTCTACCATTAACATTGTACGAGTTGTAGAAGATTAGTGCCTGCTGATGAGGTCCACGACGATACTGGAGTGCCTGAATACACCTCGTGTAGAAGGCTGATGGTACAAAATGTCCTCCACAACAGAGAATGACGTTATCATCATTTGCATAATGCTTTCCAGACAGTTCATTCTTCAAGTTTAGATGTAAGTTGAAATGTGACGGTGCAATATTTGGTGAATACAGAGGATGTAACAGAGTGCGTACAGAAGCGTCGGTGCCCCCGACGAAGTTCAAAGACCGGAGTCGCTGTCCAGCTGTGAATACAGAAGCTGGTTACATAACAGGTGGTTTGATCCCATATCTGTTAATCTATTTGGACTGGCGTCGTGCATATGTATACTTGTGTAGATTTGTAATACCTTCTGTGTATGTTGATCAGAATAGCTTCGTCATTGCTTCGTGTAAATAATAATCCTTAAACCACCATGGTTTATCTGTGTCAGTGCACCTTAATGCTATTGGCCGGTTCAACTATTTATTAGTCGAAATCACGTGTGTGTATTCACTCCGTTTTTAATAGTTCTCTTTTGACAAGAACGAGACGGCTCCTCTGTGGGTGAGGCGTTTCTCTTGTGAAGGCGGCGTAATTGTTAATCAAACACTGAGACAAGAGGAACAAGTGAGGACTCGTCTGGGATGTTACGGTGCCTTTGCTAAGACCAAGTTACAGTTATTTAGAAATCACTGTACATTCCCATTGTGAATGTTACTTTGGTATTTCTTTGAGAGTGTTTATTTCCCATCGAGGAAGACGAAAACAAACTAACCATGGCGATGATTACGAGGGCCAACGTCTGAACAGTTACTCAGTTGTTCTCAACTCTCTCATGAAAGCTTCTCAGCCACCCCTCGTGTTCCTTCACTTACTTAGAAAGGTCCAACATTACACGATTTGTTTATAAATTACTGTGTGATGCTGAAGGGTAATAAATATCTCACTTTCAAATTCTTGTTTGTCCTAATGATTTCTCAAAGCCCTGTATCATACAACTTTAAGGGATTCATTCAAGATTCAAAATGGGAAGGTGTCGGTAAGATGTGCGACACAGTTTAAAATATAAAAGTTTAATGACTTACGATTTGCAGATCTTTTTCTGGCAATCTTGACAAATCAACCTTGAGGAGACACGTCAGACCGGAATGAGCCTACACAAAGAAACATATTAATTCTTGACTCTACTTTGTGATTTGATTAATTTAGTGCATCCTAAATCAATAACCTATATTATTACTAGATACAAAATGATCCTGTTGTGAAATATGGAATATCTGAAAGTATGCTATTGTGTTTAACATAAGTACAATCTGCCTCAATGTAGGCTTTCCTGGTGCTTATATAACTGAGATGTTGTTCAAATACTACTACTACTACTACTACTACTACTAATAATAATAGAAATAATATTAATACTTATATTATTTAATTTTCTGTCCCTTTTGACACTAATGTGGTTGACAAGATTCAAGAAAAACATGGCAAATATGCAAACTCGTGTTCGAAATGTCACGCTTGCATCCCAAGTACCAAGTTGTCCGACTCCTCATTGTTCTCGGTGCCTTGGGTTTGGTACCTCCCCATCTGTTGACTGACATTGGGAGAGTACCCGGGTTTGCTACCAGGAATACATCCCTTCTGACAATCTTGGGGAGTCTTCACATTCTCCGAAAAGTTCTTGGTGGGTTTGACTGGGCAGCGCTTCCTGGGAGAAGCCCCATTCGCTGCTAAGGCTGCGTGTGGAGGGAGCAAGGGCCCTGAGCTGATGAGGCACCTAACTAGCCTGACTGCCAGGATCACCCAAACCCTCTTTGTTTCATTTTTTATTTTAATCTGTAAATAATAATGACGACGAAGATGATAACGGAAGCCAAGTAATAGTTGAGAGATAGTGAAGTTTACCTTGAAGTTCAAAACCACTGAAGTCAAAGTCAAAACGACAACAATCGTCAAAATGACAGCCATAGAGTCTATTAACATTATGTTCTCTTCTTTCATTAGATCAGTGTGTATCAAGCCATAGAGCATAAGGCAGATGACAGGAACGGATGCAATGTAGCAGGAGCCAATCACGTGTTTGAAAACCTCATCAGTCGTTTCCACAAGCGAACAAATGTTTTCAAACTGTCTACGAATTCTGTCAATTTCTCTTGTTGATGGTGCAACTTCACTCGCCTTGTCAAACATGTGTTTCATTTGAGAATTTGTCCTAGAATATTCCTTGGAGAGGCAGTACGTGAAAATGACGAAAAATGTTAAGATGGCGTTCATCTGAAGTGTGCAAAGCCAAAGCCAAATATCGTATACTATTTTGAAGATTAGATGGTAGTCCTCTTGAATGTAGCCCAAAGGTGAGAGATGTATTGCTTTGGGATTTACATTGTGAAACGTTGTCATATATATAAATACGTGGATGATACAACTCTGACATAATAGCAGACACAGCAGTATTTTAACTATTCGCCTGATTTTAGCATTGTCAGTGGCTGAGCCATAACTCTTTCGATATGAGTCAAATTCCTTAAACAACTTTGGCAGGTGTCTGTTGATGCTGAAACAAGTCGCAGTGGTGACGTATGCACAAGTGACGAAAAACCCGCAGAATGACAGCAGAGTCGTCCATTTGCCCACAGTATCAGTGCCACGTGTGAAGAGAAAAAACCGAGTGTTTCCGAGGCAAAGACAGACATAGAAGCAAACGCTGTACCCGATGCTTAAGGCATTGAAAGCCTTTCGTCTTTTCATTGGTATATGCATCCCTGCTAAGTCAAGAAGTGTCATCAGTGGTTTGAAACACCATTCCAGGTCTGTGTTGGCGATATCTTCAACAGCCACAGGATTATTCACTGATACAGACATCTTTGTCTTGAACAAATGCAAAGATTATGAGGCCTTCAGTGTATTTCCAACCTCAGTCGAATGAGTATGGAGGCATCTAAAGCACATGCCAGAAGACGTACAAGACATAATGAATGCGTGTGAAACTGGAGACTTCTGTGCCAGATAGCCAGCTATTGGAAAAAAGTACTCGGCTAAAATATTATTTATTGCACACAATACTCGTGTTGACTTTCCATACTGATTGCTTGCTTCATGCGTACAGTTACATGTACCAAATATGACGAAGACGCGTAGTGTTGACCGAGGTGCTGACTGCTTAAGGCCATAGCGGAATAATTAGCTGTCGCACGTGTAATTGCGATTAAGGATATGTGTACGCAGGCCTTTCCAGTACAATGTCTCTTATAGAAGAATAATAATTCGAGGTCTTAATGAGAGTTCCTTCAACATCATTAACTCGTGTTTTACCAATTGCTTTGTCCATAATTGTGTTGCTAGATGTTTATATAAATGACATTCAGAATAATCAATACTATTGATTAGTTAGCAGCTTAGGTGACAATGGCGTAGAAGCTTCGTATATCAAGGGATTGATTGTGTTAATCAGGGAATAACCCATGAGCTTCGAGTACATGCAAACATATCTGTGTAGAGATAACAATAATTATTTTGTTCTTAAGTCATGGCTCGTAACACCACATGCACTATTCGGAGTTGCGAGAAGGTTATTTTGTATATATATATTCAACAGAATAGGAGAATGGACACTGGTACATGTACATTGCTGAAATGACAATATACTGTGTAATAGTTAACAGGATTTAGAAAACTGGATGTTTTGTTGTGGTCGGAAAGCCTTGGAATTGGTGACTTGTTTAAATGTTTGTTATACAGTGACATTTTCCTAAACTTTATGCCGCCAAAAGTGGTAGCGGGATAGCAGTACCCTCGGTATAAAGTGTGATCTCAATGGGTCAAAATAAAAAACATTGACACTACTGTCGAAAGCTGAGAGCCGGATTCCGGAACTCCTCGTACGCATTCCAATTCTAAGTGGGCATTCTGACCATTCTAGATCGGACAATATATGGTCCATTAGCCTATGTGCAGCGGCAGCATGGCTAACAATCCGAACTGAAATTTAATTCTATGACCAGAAAACATCAATTCATTCTGCAGGGATCGTTGTCAGCTCAGGTTGTACACAAATGTAGGCGAGCGCGACAATGGTAACGGTGCTGTATTTAGGGTAGGGTATAATGGTAAACAGAACACTTAAAAGCGCCATACTGCACAAGCGACTACGTTTCCGAGACAGCCAGAATGAAACCGGTTTTGTGCATTGGGAATAGACAGTGCTCTATATATTGCCACTCAGGAGTACATTTGTGCATATGTGCTCACGCTTTTGTCGGAATCGTACAACGGATTCTGCTTTTAGCAGATATTTCTCAAGATTATGCGAGGTTTTTTTTCACTTTTATTTCAAGGATATAATGCATGTCAATATATCGCCGATAACGGAGGTGAAGACGGGAATCATGACTTACATTCAAATCATCAAAAATACGAATGCGAGTACTATCGCAACGTTCCTCAAACAATGACGTCCGTGCAATGTAACTTGGCTGCTTGACGTCCTACCACTGTATCATGTCATCAATGGAATGTCGCGGCACGTTAAAAATTGAGGGAAATACCTGAATACGCGCGGTCGATTTGCGAAAGATATAGCACACAGAAAACAATCGAAATATATGATATTTGCTTGCAGATAAACATTCTATCCCTGTGTGGTTAATATATTTAAAAAGGTTAAATATTGTTATTATACGTATTAACGAAAGTGTTGACGCAGAAAGGGATTTTCCCAATTGACAAAATGTTAATTTGGCTTGATGGTTGACATGTGCGGCAAGCGCAATAAAATGCACACTTAGCCCCCTTCTTTTCTAATTGGACAGATAAATGAACAAATTGAAGCAAACACCCATTACCTTTGCTTTATCATTTAAACCTCAAGCGAACACTTCACAGTCTGTACCCATGCGTAGAATTAAACCCGGGGGGTGCATGGTAGCGCTCTAACCACTAGGCTGCCCACCTCACTGGCACATTCAGATAGGTAGTTTAAACTAGCTGGAAATATTTATACACATACACTCGCGCATCATTCCAAATTACCCACCTGGTCCAGTAGTCTATGTGCCGCAGTTGTATCCCTTAGACATGCCAGAAGCCAGTGGTAGTGGGTTCGAATCCCAGTTTCTCCCTGATGGTGTTTCCAGGTTTATCAGTACCATAGCCGTTCCTTTTAATTGACGAAACCGTAAGACACGTGGCATGCTTCATTGACAAAGGGAGGCAAGATCTTACCTTCATTCTGTACCTTCTTGGGACAGGGTCGGACGTGTGTGTCAGTTGTTCCGCTATCAGAGCTTGTATTGGGTTCAGGATATTGGGTCGATATTTATTGATACGTTTGGTTTATATTGGCTGTATTATCAAAAAGGTAAGTGATTGTAGAATACTTTGTGTCAAATATTGGCTTTTTTTGTCATATTTGTGTATTTCATTCACCCGATCCCGTTACTCACCTCTTACGACAGACAAGCATAGTCGCCTTTTACTGCAAACATGGGTTTCTGAAGACCTATTCTACCCCGGATCTTCAAAGGTCAGATGTGAATGTGGTTATGATAGTTGAGCAAAGGATGGGTCAAAAGGTCACATGTGGCCAACGCCGTATGCGTGGAAAGGAAAAGGAGATAACTTTGTCAATCCTTCTTACATTTTCAACCCCTCACTTGCCTGGCCGTGTCAGGATGTATAATCAGTCCTTTCGGGTACATCTATACATATCACCAGCTGTCAGATGTTACAATGTGGCGACTCGAGGTAAAAATAAAAACCCTGTATGCTCTAGGTGCAGTGGTGAGCAGAATGTTTTTGTTTTTTTCAGAAAATATATCCTGATGTTGTAATTGTCGGGGTAACAACGGCGCGGCCTACACGGAATGTGAGAAATACAAGGAGGCAGTGTCTGTGGAAAAGGGACGAGTAGAGAATAAAATCTCTTATGCTGAAGCAACTCTTATGTCCACTGTGAAGTCCACTCCAACTCCATCCGTCGCTGCTGCTGCTCAGATATCCAAATCCAACTCTTTACAAGCTAGTAAAACAACAGCTGAATCCGATATGTTCTTATAACTTCTAGGTCAGGGTCCAACACTACCCGTGTTTGTAAATGTCAGTCACATGTGTCAGATTCATACCAGTGTACATCAAATCCACCTGTTACACCTCAAGTCAACACTCCACAGGTAGCCAGTACCCAATCCATGGTACTTTCCCCCAAACCTTTTCATTTTTCTAGTTTGAGGTAGTTGCCGGATGCTTTAATGCAACTTCTAAGAAAGATCAGATCAATCGCCTTTCCGAAGCGGCCAAAAAACATCTCTACGTCGATGTTTCTAGGGATATCTTAAGAGTGCTACATGTTGGGGCAGAATCATGGATATAGCCTTGGTGTTACTGACCATAATGCAATGCACATGGAGATAATTTAAACCATTTTCTATCAAATAGGTCACCGCTACCAGAAGTTAGTTGTGTACAGGGAACCTTACTTTGGCCAGAGAGTCATTTTAGAATTAAGGGTTATCTTGGTCATCGACGGAACAGACTAACAACCAAACCGAATACCAAAGGTACTCGGTGAGGTGGTTGTGCTATATTTATTGAATCTGATTTGTCGTATATGGTTTACAAATTACAAAAAAAACTGTGTATGAAGCTAATGCATAAAGATTCATTATGGTGAAGACAAACCGTTACTATTTTTAATATTTATAATACAGGTAAACCAAACTTAGATGGATACCTGAAATTGGTTGACCCCAATGATGGCCCTTATTTTACATGTGGGGACTTTTACAGCCATAATGTGTTTTGGGGAAGTAACAAAACGGATTACAATGGTCATTGTGCTGAACACTTTTGGATGAAGCAGACATTGTCCTTTAAAATGACCCGCATGGATCTTGGCAAATGGACCTTTTCCCCTTTAGATTTTCCCATGATACCGTCGCCAATAGCCAGTAAATGTATCGGGTATGAATTTCAAGATGCATAAGGGCACTTTTGTCTTGTCTATGCTCTAAACACATCATATCTTATCTTATAAATGGTGATGTTAATATGTGTAATGAAAATGTCACAAAATATAAAATAATTTATAGACTAGTACCAAGTGTTTTAAATTTTATAAAAAATGTCATAAAATAACTTACCCAATTATTGAAAGTCATCTTTTTGTTGAATTTTATATTTTATTTCGTCCGCCCGCTCTCTTGTCAGCTAAGATTGGAGATGACAAACCCATACAAAATATTTGGATGGCCTTTATGTAAATGATACTTGGCACGCCACAAAAGGAACCAACATGGAATTAAAATCTGGGTCACGGGGACCCGCGAAGTTTCACGAAGTGACTTCGGCACGAGGAACTTTCGGACAAGTGTGACTCAATCGTGACCAACTCGTGTTATTCCGGGACAAGCCGAATAGCGACTCGTGCCCCTCTCGTGGCAATTCTTTTTCGACTGGGTTCCGTCGAAGCGTAATCGGACATAACTAAAACAATTGTCAACTCGTTGCGTAATGATTCACGCAAATTTCCCATATGTCATATATATTCCAGATGAAATTTAAGACACTTCGGGACGTAAGGTATTATACAGTATGACTGAACACATTTAACTGTGCCTTGGGTATATTCTTATATGCAAGACATATGTAAAATCAAAAATTATATCTGAGGGATTCTTTGACGAAGAACTTGAAATCATACGCGCATTCTGATTGGTTTGTCGTATTTTCGCACATAGCATTCATCGATTGGGGGACGAGTCTTCTTGCAGGTTACGGAAAGGGGCGAGTGGTGACGAATGAAGTGTGACTCTGCCAAAACACATTGCTACTGGGCAATGAAAACATGTGACGGGAACGACAAAAAAAACCTACTTTCATCACTTAAAATTATATTTGACCATTACCAGCGTTTTCACGAAATTTGTCTTCAAGATTCCTGGTGAAGGCAAGACGAACAGGGCCAAAACAGACGCTGTTGAAATCACCGATTGACGTAGATATTTTAAGAAATGCTGTAATTATTCATAAATTGCAAATATACCGACCGTACACCACAGGATTACGCTTGGTGCCGTGACACTATTATTGTGAATGTTTCATTAACATTGCTCTTATTCATCAAGTCAAACGTATTTCGTTCTCGTCGAGAGAACACATAACAAGCACAGAACTAATTTGTGTGTGTGTTGAACTGGAACGAAAACATAAATCGTGGACATTCCACAGTAACATTTTCTGAAGATGTGACGACCACGTGGCAGGTGGGTTTTGAAACCAAAGACCTACGCGTTTGTTGAAAAGTCTTGAAATCGTTTGATGGATATTTATTACCATTGAAACTTACGTCCTTGTTGTCAAACAGCCCACGTAGGTGGGTGTTTACATGTCATCACCCGTTAACGCATTAACCAATGAAATTTGTGTGTTATCATGACGTCATATTGAGCTGTCAGATCACTTATATAAGCTCCCCTATCGAGAGTGCGATCCGTGTGCGAAATACGCTACAGTCGGAAAGCGCACGTTAAATCTCCTATATCAGTCAGAGAGTGCGGTAGTTCCTACCGCAAATGCCGCATTAAACATAGATGAGGTGAAATGCGTTTTAACGTCGCTTTCAAGATTATTGTGTGTGTGTGTGTGTGTGTGTGTGTGTGTGACTCGATGCCTACTGTCATCATGTTTTTACTGCATATTGTTGATCCATGAAAAACAATTTCAGCAGTCAAACTGTTCGCTCTCAGTTCACGTTTAACTAATTCACTATGAGAACGTGCACACAAGTACGATTATTTTTTACCATCAATAAATATTCATACAAAGTGTGCAATATATATGAGAATACGTCTTCACTCATCACGCATATGTTTAACAATTAAAATATTCGTGATCATCCTCAATTGCAAGTTCCCATGGTCTTCACGACAAGAAACTGTTAGTCAGCCTTGAACTGTAGAACCACCACCACGTACGTCAGCATAGTTCCAGTAAGCTGAAGACAGAAACAAATACTGCGATAGAAGTGATTGAGTTGGTTTTAACGCCGCTTTGAGTATTCCAGTTATACCACGGCGTGTCAGCATGTTGTGGGGGGAAATCCCGATGTGATGCAAGTCTTATACGTTTCTTAGACGTTTATCACTTTTGTGAAACCAACGAGGCCGGGTATGGTGCTGACAAACCTAGAAACATAATCGGGGAGAACCGGGATTCGAACCCAAAATCATACGTTTCGGGCGTGCACAAGGGAACACTACAACTGGAAGCTAGCGAGGCGTGAAGTAACACCAATTCCACATAAGGTTTGAAAGGTCGAGTGTAATAACCGCCCGCTTTATAACGTGTACATCTCAACAGTTCTCAGAGCTGGTTGGTCAATTCACAAAATGACGTCATACTGCAGCACCAATGGCTCACGTCATCAACTGTTCGTGATTTCACAATAGACGACTTTTCAAACATTAATAGTTTTTGTTTCTTTAAACGACACTGGGGTAGCCTAGTGGTTAAAACGTTCGCCAGTCACGCCGAAGACCCTATTCGATTCCCTACTTGGGTACAATGTGTGGAGCCCACTTCTGGTGTCCCCCGCCGTGATATTGCTGGAAAAATGCAAAAAGCGGTGTAAAACCATACTCACTCACTCCATATTCTGGACATCATGTGAGTATAACGGTAACGATTGCGCTTCCGGTCTTTATTCTCCTCAAAATTGGCTTGGACCATAAACAAACATCTTAGATGTATCTAAATTAGTCGAATGTGGTCTTTTCAAGTTCTTTAGCCCTTTTTCATATATTTTGCGTGGGACTAATTAATATTTTGCTGACAGGTCTAATTGCTTTTAATTAAAATAACTTCTGAATAGACAGACCCCCGGAGCCGATTTCTGTTCAACTTACTAGTGGGGGCACGGGTGGCTCAGTTGTCCAAGGCGCCGTGATTCGCTGTGCAGAGTTGCCTCCCTTGGACATGCCAGAAACCTATGATTGTGGGTTCGAATCCCGGTTTGCCCCGATTATATTTCTAGGTTTGTCAGCACCATACCCGTGCTCGTGGGTTTCACCGAAGTGGTAAACGTCTGAGACCTGCATCACTTCCGGCTTTCCCCCCACATTAAACTGACACGCCGTGATATAACTGGAATACTGTTAAAAGCGGCGTTAAACCAAACTCACTCACTCACTCACTCAACTTACTAGTCTCGCCCCATACCTGGCAAATGTATGGCCATGATAATCACATATGTTTGAAGACTTGATATTGTGTAGAATGCTTCAAACTTTAAGTTATTAAAACTGAATTTGCTTTCTTCTTGAGAAGGTTATAGATCCGCAGATGTTTTTTTATACATACACAACCTGCATGTACATTTACAATAGACAACTATTATCACTTGCTTTCTGGATAAAGAGGCAGTGACAGCTATTAAGGTCGACCTTCACGAATGGGCATATTTGCGTGTTGTTTAGGGTTAATAGTGTATGTTATGACGCAATACTACTCACCATTAAGATGGTCGAGCTATCGATGGTAAAGAGATTGTACAAGGTAAACCCTATTTTGGTGGTTGTCAGTCTTGTGATGAAGATGCTGATCTGAAACAGAAATGGACAGTTTGTTGCAATTACAGAATACGAGTGCTGGTCAAAAAGTTCTAAGCCTAACAATTGTGAAAGTGTTTTAATTTTATTTTTCAACATAATCTCTCTGCTCTCCAAAACACTTTTCATATCGATAGTGAAGCTTTTCAATTTCAGTCAGGAAGAAGGTTTCTGAAGCCACACTGAAAAACCCATTCACGGCAGCTTTGAGGTCATCGTTGTCCATTTGGACCCCCATCACGTTCAACATCACTAATATACACACGACCTCAACAGACCAAATACGCTTGCAATGAACCACTCAAACAATGTACTACATCGACTAGTTCACTTTGCTATGGCCCGTAGTTGAACGTTAGTCAGGCTTAAAACTTTTTGACAAGCCCTCGTATAATGCCCAACTGATACAAACTTGAAAACACACTGACGCTCCTCCCAAATCTACAGACGCAACGTCTTGTATGGACTATTTGGCTAGAAACGTGTGTCCGCCGAAGGTTAACCAGTGTAGTCTGAGAGATGGGAGAAAGTCTATGGATTTATATTGTTGGTTGTTGTTCAACGCCGCACTCAGCAATATTCCAGCTATATGACGGCGATCTGTAAATAATCGAGTCTGAACCAGACAATCCAGTGATTATTATCATGGGCATCAACCAAGTCAGCGAGCCTGACCACCCGATCCCGTTAGTCGCCTTTTATGACAAGCATAGTCACCTTTTACGGCAAGCATGGGTGGCTGAAGACCAATTCTACCCCGGAATCTTCACGGGTCCTATGGATTTATAATTATATACTTTCTGACTTAAAACTAATAGCTAACTGTTATCAATGTGGATGCTTGTCTTTTAATCAGTATCTTCTTCAATCAATTGAAGGCACGTGTGATTTGGTATTTTTTCAATAAAAAAACAACATAGAGAAATCTTTCTTAATCAGGGCCCTATTAGGCCAACTAACGTGATATTTAGGTTTATTTGTTTGTTGTTTAACGTCGCACTCAGCAATATTCCAGCTGTATGACGGCGGTCTGTAAATAATCGAGACTGGACCAGACAATCCAGTGAGTGACGTTTTGAACATCGATCCACGCAATTGGGATACGATGACATGCATCAAACAAGCCAGCGAGCCTGACCACCCGATCCCGTTAGTCGCCAAGCATAGCCGACTTTTACGGCAAGCATGGGTTGCTGAAAAGCTAATCTACCCCGGATCTTCACGGGTCACGTTATACCTCCGTTATCTTAAACGGAAAAGTTCGGAGACCAAATACTGCTTCCATGATTATCTATTGGTCGTTTTACACATACTTGTAAGTAAGACTTTTTATATAGGAGCATATATTCATTTATTTCACCTTGGCACAACAGTCAAACTACCAGGACGAATTGAGTAGAATGCCACGATGTTCTATAGCTGTGTGGTCATAGCATGGTGGTTCATAAATGTGCTCGAGGGGGTCCTTTTTTAATTCTATTCGAGGCCGGGACATGTCTTTGTTTACCCGAGTCTCCAAAGAGCGAGTTGAGCGTGCGGAACATTTCTTTCATTGCATCACGCAGGAGCGGCTCACAATGTTCTCACAATTAGGATTTGAGTTTTAAATATAAAACTCAAAGCAATGTTGAACATTTTAAGTGCTTTGCCTCTTGGAATTGTTGCCGTGGTTAAACAGGTTAGACCCTTCTGTCCTCCCCTAAACGGTCCTCTTAGATTAAACAAAATAGTTTCAATATATTTTCGATACTCTAATATTGATTGCACAACTGACATATTCCAAGCCGTTTCTTTAAGATTTTACTCATGTTTCATGTAGTGTTTCTCAATTTGCGACCTTTGGGCATCATGCTAGGACAAAAACTGTGTCAAACTAGAGACTATCAACTTACAATATGCAGACTCCTGTCTGACAGCCGAGAACAGTCACACATCAGAAGGTGGGACAATGACGAATGGGCCTGCAAAGTATTCAAACAAATGTGTCAGACGTGATGAAGTAAGTAAGCATATACTCCGAAACGTTGTGTTCCTCATAATAAAAAATGACATCGATAAATTCTCTTCCTTATGTGTATCACTTCTAAATGCCTTTCAAAGACATAAATTTGTTATTATTCATTACTTTACCGCCGTTACTATCATCACTTATTGAGTGAGTGTTTGGGTTCGATTAATCTGACCTCAGGTCATCACCATGGAGTAGTCAATCACTGGCCTTGAATTTGATACCACACATACCTCATGGTGATGACCTGAGATCAGATTATGACGGACCTTAGGTCAGATGATGACGGACTCCTTTCCTGAGTGTAAACCATTCATAAGTTGCTCGTGCTTCAGTCGAATGTTCACCTACGTCTGTATTGAACCACAGGACCGTGTAATTGATAATAATAATAATAATAATAATAATAATAATAAAAAACAAAATCGACTTCGTCAACGAGTTTGTTTGTTATTATTATCAGTAACATTATCTGATGATATGTCAACGTTATCGTTTTTTAGAGGGTAAATTCCCTGGATGCAACAGCGACACATGTGTCCCTCCTCTTCAACCCTCACTTGAATAAAATTCAAAATACATCATGCAAACTAATACACTTCACAGTTTTGAATTCCCCTTCTGTTTATCATTTACTGTCATTTTAAGCAAAATTACTGAAAGTGACTTCTGAAAATTTGGTACATCGTAAATCTCGACACATAAAAATTCACGGCGTTATTTACTGTGTGTTAAGAAATCTAAATATCGGATATTTACTCGAAAAATTCAAGTAGAAAAATAGCATATTAGTGATGACGGGTATCAAATCACTCATGATAATTCTGAAACGTCGCTGATAGTCTAGAATCGTTTGGAATGTTTTGGAAAATACGCATACACGAACGCCGAAGTGTACGTTCCGTCATATTGGATTGTGTTTACAAAATGCCGGTTATGAGACGCCCGATCAGGTATATTTTAAACTCAGCTGCTATACATGCATCCCTGAATTCCTCATACGTTTTAGAAACAAATGACAAATTGTCTTTGTCACCAATGCAAATTATCTGGATGAAATCATGCGAAATAAATTAGGTGTGGAAACGAACACTGTGATCGGAAAACTGTATATCTACATGCTGCAATGTACTGTTGTCACCGGTAGTGATGTCATACGGAAGTAAACACTGTTGTACATATTTGGTAATTGCTTTGAGGTGTAAACTTTTAACTCGGCATCCAGCGTGTTCTTTGTTTTTGTCTAGTTTGCATTATCATCACCGCCTTGATAATCCACAGATGTGGCGGAAACCTTTTTTTTTACGGTCACAATTTTTATCAGTAGTAAGCAGTACTTAAGATGACGTCACTTATGACAGTAGTGTTATGTATTAAAGCGCTACTGCGATCATGAGAATTGACAAAATGCATCGATTCGATGCTAAAAAGGTGCGATTTGAGGGTGTGTAAGAAACAGATTACTGCACTCGTGCCTGTCAGATACCATTCATCTTACAACTCTCGTTAGATACGCTTTGAAACAACTCGTTGTAAGATCAATGGTATCTGACAGACAATCGTGTAGTAATCTCGATATCTGTGGAGTATGTTGCCGTGAAATACTGTTCAAAGCAACGGAAAACGTATTCCTTCAAATATAGTCTGGCATATGGTTATTGCAGCAACATTTGATAGTACAAGTATTTGTATGTCAAAAGGTAATTGTAGCTGGTTCAATGAACTGTTCATTCAAATAATTCATTATAATGCGTTTCACTTACCTTCATATTCAAACCAACAGAAGTGAGGGTTGAAATAACAACCATGCTAATGAGTAGCACCATGGCCATGGGTAGCATAAAGTATTCCCCCTCATTCATGTTGACGTGTATCAAGCCATAGAGCATGAGACAGATGACGGGGACTGACGCAACGTAGCAGGAACCGATCACGTGTTTGAAGACTTCATTAGCCTTGCTGACAAGAGAACACGTGTCTTCAAACTGTCGACGCATTCTGTCAAATTCTGACGACGATGGTATGTCTTCGTTTCCCTTATCACACAGTTTGGCAATCCGGGCATTCACCATTGAAAACTCTTTGAAGAGACAGTAGGTAATGAATATGAAAAATATTAGGAAGAAATGTAGCTGTATTTCATTAACCAAGAGCAACAGAACGTAGACTACTTTCAGTAATTGGTGATAACCTTCTGAGATGTGCTTCATAGGCGTTAGATAGAGAGCTTTGTGGTCCACATTGTGAAATGATGCCAGATATATACACGGTAGATCAATGGTTATTTCTGCAGCACAAATCACAATCACCACCGTGAGGTAACGTCTGATTTGGACATTTTGAAGACCAGAGCCATGCGTGTTGCGATACAGATCATATTCTCGGAAGAATTTTGGCAGGTGCTTGTAAACGCTAAAACACGTTGCAGTGTATAAGTAGGTGACGCTGAAATGAAACCCAAAATAGGATAGCGCAGTCATCAATTTACCAACTGTTTGAATTTCATCTGCGAACAGGAATAAGAACCGCAAGGTTGCAAGCCATAGCAACACATTGATGACTACAGAGTACAAGATGCTGATGACTTTAGAAACTCTTCTCCGTTTAATTGGCGTGTGCATTCCACCGATGTTGAGGACTGTCATCAAAGGTTTGAATAAACACTCCATTTCAGAGGGAGAGTCGGTCTCCTCATCCCCCGATTTCAAAGGGTGAATCTTTGACATCTTGCTCCTGACAAGGCGAATGGCGACTGTTGGATGTTGATGTGACATCATTCAGATGGGTCTGGTGAAGTGAATTCTTGATGGACTCACCATGACAAGTGTAGTACCAATGACTTCTTGATGGACCTATCTTTACCATGACAAGGGTAGTACCAATGGTGCGAGGTTTCATACTATCGTCGTCAGTGGAACAAGTGCTTCACACACAGAGTTCTCGTCAAAACCTTTTACTTGTGCTTATTTGATGTCATCGGGACTCGTTAAGTAGATTGATTCTGGTTTGGAATAATTCTACTCACACGTTTCACTGATAACCATGTTGCCACAATCAGCCATCCAACTATGAGTCCACAGTGGATTGCTAGGGTTTAAAGGATTGGGAAATGGATTGGGATGTATTATTTCATTGGTACAAATAATCTTTGTCGAAGAAATGTCCTCAACTTCCGGATGGTATTAGAAGCGACGGATAATAAATAAATCAATGGCTGTTTCACATGATTGTCAACATAAAGGCTGAACGTATTTGATCAATCGAGCAGATGACTGTGTGTGTGTGTGACTGACAAGTAAAGGACAGATGACTAATTTGTATGAAGTGATCTGGTATTGTGCCATTGTTGGGTGTCCTCCCCCGACAGAGTGACCGTGATGCATATGACTTGTCCGTTAACTCCTTGAGTTCCCGGGACCTTCAGCTCATTCGGGCGGCGCGGTTGCCTGTTGTTAAAACGTTCATTCGCCATGCCGATTCGATTCGTTATGTGGTTCAATGTGTGAAGCTCATCCTTGGTGTCCTCCCTCATCATATGACAAGTATATTAATATTGCTAAAAGCAAAATTGGCACTTGCACTCCATTCCATTGCTAGCTGTCGGTCGTCAGGAAGCAGAACATTTTAAAAACATGTACTTGTTTCTCACCCATGGACTTTTATGCAAAACAAATCTAGAAATGTATAACTATTAAAATTCATATCGAATAATGCAACGATCCATCTTTTCAAGGTCGCAGTAATATTTGTCCCGTTATGTTATCAAATCGTGTCAGTCTCGGAATGGCGACAGGGTTCATAGTGTAATTAACTTGCCTTAGTTACTAAATGTTCAAGAACTCTCCCCGGCACCAACGCTTAAATTAAATCAATATGATCAAATTACTATTAACTTATACAACTATTGCGACATTCTCCGGATTTATGGCGAACATATTACCACATTTAGGGCGCTGTCGCGGGATTGTCGCGATTATACAAGTGCAACGCTACAAATATGGCACTGATATTTGTCCGTGACTGATCGGGAAACAAATGTTGCATGATTCAGTAGAGTAATATATCTTTTTTAACTTGTGCAATAAAAGTGATAGTTCATATTAACTGATTAGCAGAAATTGCTAATAAAGTGAGTGAAAGTATGATTTTTGTTGTTTAAGCGCAATTCTATCAATATCAGACAAGAAAGTGGTTTTCCACGTTTTATCCAGGTTGAGAATCGAACCTGGGCCTTCCGTGTCACGACAAGACGCGTTAATCATTAGGCTACCCAATGGCCACTGAATTCTAATGAAGGCTGGATCACCTTAGATCTTGTCTAATTAGTTCTTGTCACGCCGCCAATAAATGTACACGTGTTTGTAGCTGCCTGGTTGTGATTCATGACTGTGTTGGATATATTTTATAATTTGGTTGGAGCATGACCACATATCTTTTTGTCATATATATTACAACCTCATAATAAAACAACGAGTCCTTTTTAATGGTTAAGGACAGAGGACCCGTGTGATAGTGGTAGAGGGAAATCTCAATGGACAGCGGTACCGCGACGAGATCATCGGCCCTGTTGTTCTACCGTTTTTTTGTCGGCATGGCCCAGGCATTACCTTTCAACGTGACAACGCCTGGCCTCATATTGCTCGACTTGTTCAGGATTCTCTTCAACAAAACAACGTGAATGTCATCCCCTGGTCGGCTCGCTCCCCTGATCTCTCACCAATCGAGCAAATGTGGGATGAGATGGATCGGCGCCTTCGACGTCAACCACGTGTTCCACAGACACTCCAGGAACTTCGAAACATGCTCCAGCAGATATGGACAGATATCCCACAGGACTTTTGTGCGACGCCTGGTCCATTCAATGAGACTAAGATGTGTTGCTTGCATAGCAACCAGAGGTGGACACACACGCTATTGATTTGTAAATTGACATTTTGGCATGTTCATGTTTTTTATGAAGTCAGTATGGCAAATTAACCCATTTGACCACTTACAGGAGTCTTATCTGTTGCAAACCGAATTTTTTTCAGCTTTGGTAAAAAACATAACTTTGCATTAAATCTTATTCAATGTCACAGGAACTTTTGTTGTTCAGTATATATATTCTTTATTCCTCCATAGGAGAGTTACAAAATTAATGGTAAAAGTTACATTCTCGCTGTATTGTACGGAGTACTGCAGAGGGCGTTTTCTGTTAAATGATTGGGTTGGGTTGGGGTTCGGGGTCAAGGTTAGAGTTGGGGTAGGCGGAAGGGATTGGTTTGGGGTGAATGTGGGCTGCTGGTGGGAGGGCGTTGGTAGAAGGTATATGACCTTCATATGTTCAAGACAATACAATATTAATGTTTGGGCAACGGAACATGAACTTGATAGAACTTGAAATATTTTAAAAGATCGATTTATTATATTCTGTGTTCACTATTCACGTGAGCAGTAAACTATTTTCATAGGAGTAATGTCTGACTTGCTTCCATCACTTCGTGAGACATACTTGCCGAAAAAGGCGACTATGCTTGTCGTAAGAGGCGACTAACGGGATCGGGTGGTTAGGATCTCTGACTTGGTTGATGCATGTGATCGATCCCGATTGCGTGGATCCATGCTCATGATGTCAATCACTGGATTGTCTGGTCCACGTCTAGCACGTCTGGGACCTGTTATAGATACAGTCCATACATGAAGTCATGTGTATGATTCTATTCAATTACATATGATTACAATACCTCAACGAATGTAACAAAAACAACAACAAACGAAATAAACTGCTTCAATGAGCTCAGTATGAACTAGCACATATAAAGAAAATGCACCAGATTTTTTAAAATTACGATAATTTTTAAAACGAGACAACATCCTGTCTGCTATCAGCTCTGATAATATTTTATAACAATATCCCATTATTGCTCACAGTGAACTACAGAAGTCAAGGCAGTGTGAATAAATATTGGATATCTGTACATGGTTATACATTGGAGATATTGAACTACATAATGATGCTTTCAAGTATGTGTCATTTAGGAGATAAAACTACTGTGTTTTGATATTTGATGTTCTACTGTAGAGTAGAGTAGAGTAGAGCAGATATCTCCATTCCACCATGACGGCACGGGCGCCTTGACAGCAGCGCTCTCTTGCTATGCAAACCTACACGGGGTACAAAGGCCCGCTATCTTAGTACATTCCGGTTTATGAATGCAACAAAAATTTCAACGTTAAAATACACATAGTCTTGACTAGTTCTAAATAGGGGTTCAAGACACAGAATCTTTCAAAAAGAGGTTTACAAATAACTTTCCAAACTGAGTCCAAAGATTTATGTTTTAATTTCATCGCAACCTGTTGCGCACTTTTATTTCTTGGAAATCGAATATGCATCTCCCATTGCAGGGGTGAGAGGTTGTTAAAATAGTTTTGAAAAAATGCTAAACGAATATATTTCTTCATCAAACTTTATTAATTAACATTCTAATAAATATTCTAACTGTGCAAGTATTATTGGTTGGATAGAAATTACCCCCTGTAAATAATGCACATTAAAAATAAAAACCTCTCCACCCCGAACTTCGATGTGGCAGAACTTGACCAACATCACGGTTACTCACACCTCACAACTGTTAATATGGCTGCCAGTGTTGTTGTTTACCTCAGACAAGTTGCATGGAGAACGATGATAAACCCGATCTGTCACGTGGTTCAACATTAACCTGTAAAGTGAATGGGAATGAGACAGATGGAACAACGTGAATACCAAGAGAACCGGAACTGGGGAAGGCGTGCGACTGAACAGTCGCTTACGACACGAGAAACTGCATGTTTGTGACCTGTCAATTTCAAGATTTCACGGATTAGACGCCAGCGTAGAAAAGACATGCAACATTTGTGGGCATGAAACAGTGGTTCGTGTGTGATTTGCTTAATTTTGTGTCTTCTGAAATGCATTTCATCAAGTTGGATAAGTTGATATGATCAAGTGAGTGAGTAGTATGGTTTTACGGCGCTTTTAGCAATATTCCAGCAATATCACGGCGGAGGACACCAGAAATGGGCTTCACACATTTTACCCATGTGGGGAATCGAACCCGGGTCTTGCTCGCCGTGACGAGCGAACGCTTTAACCACTGGGCTACCCCACCGCCCCATATGATCAAGTGCCTGTCGGGACATTGTTTTCATGGCCTTTCGAAGAGAGGAGTGTTTGATGGACTTTAAAATCCCCTCGTGTCAAATCCTTACCGTGGTCAACGGAGATGGCAATGGATATCGATCGTTTGTAAACAACATGTTGTCATTAATAATGTTTTTTGAAACACTTTTTATAATGTTATATTTTACATTCAATGTCGGTTGTTTCAATGAGGACATTGCCGGTTCCGGGTCTGTTCACTTCGAACATGCCCCCAACAGTTTCATAAACATTATCAATTGTTTGCAAAAGATATGCCTTCGTTAACTCTTGTAATCTCATCTTCAAAGCAGTGTTACGGCCTAGAACATGGGTGCAGGCTAAAACGGCACCTCAGCAAAACGTCACCGATTTCTCTGGCGAAAACGGCACAGCATTTGGCGAAAACGGCAACTATGTGTTGGCCGAAAACGGCACCTCTATTTTTAATAACGATAAGAACGATTTATGTTGTAGTATATCTGATTTATGTCGTTTGTTATATCGTCGCCACGTGTTAACAATATCGGCCCATGTACCGCCGAACATTGTGATAGTAGCTGACTCAGCTAATTTCTCGATAACGGGCCACAGAAAGTCTGATACCACATGGGTCCACTGGTCACAGTTGTCACATGATACAGCATGTTGATTTTTTCTGACATTCTTCTCGCATGCAACACATCGAAAGGCCATTGTGAATAATTGTGATCTGACATCACCAGGTTAGGCCTCTTAAATCAAAGTCGGGGAGTAAACTGGAGTAGGGGGCTAATTTCTAAGGTAAACTTGTTTTAACATTTCACAATTATTTGTGTTTGTAAGAGACGATGTGAGTTTAATTTCATTTATTTTACTTCAAAGCATGTTATGTGTTCACAATAAGTTGAGTTGCGTATAGGCTAAGTAGGAATATAGTTGGAGTAGAGGCTAATTTCTAATGTAAACTTGTTTTAACATTTCACAATTATTGGTGTTTTCAAGTTACCATGTAAGTTTAATTTCATTTATTTGACCAATGTTAAAAAAATAAGGTGCCGTTATGGCCAGGCAATAGTAGCCGTTTTCGCTTGAGGCGAGGTGACGTTTTCGTCAATCGGTGCCGTTTTGCTGTTGTGCCGTTTTAGCTATACCCCCTAGAACATCATATCGTTATCAAACACACCCGATATATCAAGCTACCGTATTTTCTCTATCAGACGCTAGGCCGTCTGTTCAAAGAGCCGTTGACCCGTCGTGTATTAGAGACCTGGTTTGAATTAGAGACCCAGCGTGTAATAGAGAAAATATTGATACAGTGTATTTGGGTGATCGATCGGCTGCCATTTTTTATGAATCGATGTAGTCTATCGGTGTATTCATACGCACGTGTTTTGTGTGAAGAGGCTTAATATATTTTATAAGGGTTTCCTCTTTTTAACCAATCAGAATCAAGCATTCTTCAATATCATGGCAGAATAAACCGACATAAAATGTCGCGAAAAGACACTGTGAAATGTACACGCATATTCATGAAGGAACGCAGGGTAACTGAAGCGACAGTGAGTGAGTGAGTGAGTATGGTTTTACGCCGCTTTTAGCAATATTCCAGCAATATCACGGCGGGGGACACCAGAAATGGGCTTCGCACATTGTACCCATGTCGGGAATCGAACCCGGGTCTTCGACGTGACGAGCGAACGCTTTAACCACTAGGCTACCCGACCGCCCCCTGAAGAGACAGACCCATTGTAATAAAAGGCTTGTTGCACTATACATGCTCTTCAATGTGTCGCGTTGACCTACCCTCAGATTTTGACAAGGAAGTAAACCTAGCATGCGAAGAAAAAATATCAAACATGTTGGCCGTTCGCCAACACAACGGATTCGTGGAAAAGCAAATGTCATATACAGTGACGTCGGGTGATATAGATTCGGCGTCCTGTCACAAGCATTTTTTCCAATGTTACAATCTGATTTAAAAGATAACAATGACTGGTGACATGTTAAATACGTTATATATGTAATTTTCCAGTGTGGCCTCTACTTGTCCCAAAAAGCAGTTTGATTTACCTGTATGTTTTAAAAGTATTATTTTACAAAACATATTTTCACACTTAAATGCTTTTGTTCTTTTAAGCGTATACACAGTGTTTGCAGGTTATACGTCGATTGGTGAATTTCAGTTATGTATGACACTCTGTACATGATAAATTATGTATTTGTACGAGAACCATTCGATCTGTCTGTTCGTGGTGTCAAATGAGCATTTTTTGGTGCTTTCGTTAACAATACAGACTTTGTTACGTAGGACGTTTCTTAGAGAGAGAAATCAATGGGAACCACCAGTACTTTGCCAAATCATTTCGAGACAGTAAGAATCCACTTAATATGTACCTGAATGTTATCATGAATATTATTTACACAGAAGGTCACGTCTTCGATCGACAGCTGCTTTGAGGTTCCATGTCGAGACAAAATATCAAATTCTCAAATCTCAAAATATCAAATTCTTGTCAATGCTTTGTTTGTTTGTTGTTTAACGCCGCACACAGAAATAATCGAGTCTGGACCAGACAATCCATTGATTAACATCATGAACCTCGATCTACGCAATTGGGATACGATGACATGCATCAACCAAATCAGGGAGCCTGACCACCCGACCCCGTTAGTCGCCTCTTACGCCACAAGCATAGTCGCCTTTTACGGCAAACGTGGGTTGCTGAAGACCTATTCTACCCCGGGTCTTAACGGGTTTCTTGTCATTACGATGACATATAAACGTATATGGTTGACAAGTCTAAGGGTTAAACTATCGTTTCATACATGTTGGACTCGAAGACACAGAGCGATAGATTATTATTCGAATAAGGTTATGTCGAATTCGTATGACACAGATAAAGTTTCGAGTCTGAGGTTCGGCGCAACCGTTGAAGAGTCTTGACCCATGTAAGTTACAACAGCTAGCTGACAAGAATATATGTTTGTAATATTTATGTTTTTCCTGCAATTCTAGTTTATGTCACTTTGGAGAGTTAGGAAAAAATATTCACATACCATAAAGTTAAAACACTTCGGTGAAACCAACGAGCAGGGTGATTATGCAGACAAACCAATTATAATCGGGGCGTATCTGAAATTCGAAAACCAAGCTCATTGGATACTGGCACGACCAAGGGGAGCAACTCTGCATGTCTTAGAGCACTTGATCACACGTGCCACACTGAAGTCTTAGAACGAGATCGATAAACCGTATATGTGACATATCAAAGAAAAGAAAGTCATGTATAAGAAGAAGAATGTAAATTCGACAAATGTAAAGCCGAATTTTTAAAGTTGGTTACAAAACAAACAAAGAATCGACCTTTACTAAAATTTTCTAATCATAGGTTCAATAACATCCATTTCAAGTTTTAAAATGTCGATATTTTTATACTTTGACACTACTTGGATTCGGCCACAACTGGCCGTGTAACGTACTTTGCATAAAATCTAGATAGGCAAAGTGTCACTATTTACGTTTCAAATTACTCTTCGTTCTGTTATTACAAAAACCTAAACCGACAAACTCCTTTTGAAACCTGACAACGTCCTGCATGAATTGTAAAGACATCTGACAAGCCTTTGTACTGTTATGCAACATGCGAGTTAGACCAAGGGAAGTAACTGAAGTTTTAATATATTATGTTTGACATCAGAGAGGAAATAGTAGTCAAGGCGACAGTCAACAAACACACTGATAAACTAGAGTTGATCTCTTCTCCTGTGTGGCTATTCCTCCGTTTTAAACAGCGAATTTCAGGTAAGTTAAATTGTCATGATGTTGACTTCTTCTAAGTGATGCGATGTTTTTTGGCATAATGTAAAAAAGTACAAAGTATTAATCTGTATGTACACCTTTGTATATAAACTAAAACAGTAATGGTGTGGTTCTACAAGCCAACAATGGTCTCTGCTCATCTGTGAGTGTAAACATTCTAAAATGAGATGATTAAACCTGTCCAAATGATATATGATAAAAGTATCATTGGTTTTATTAACTTTATAATGAACAAAACGTTCTTCTTTTTAAACGAAACCATAATAATTTCAAAATGCTAAGTGGGCTAATTAAGAGCAAGTTGATGGGGACTTGCGCATTTACGTATTTCCTTCAATGTCGGACGTTGACATTATTGTTGACATCATACATGTCGTTAAAGCACTCCAGATTCATGGCACTTCATTTTCGAAATGAACACAAATGAATACCAATGGAGTGAGTGAGTATGGTGTAATGCCGCTTTCAGCAACATTCCAGCTATACCACGGCAGAGGACACAAGATATATCACATATTGTACCCATATGGGTAATATAAAGCCATCATTGCAATGAGTATATCAATGGCGCCATGCCTTTTTGCCATTTAACCCTCCTTAATATATGATTAAAATATACTTTGACACATTTAATCTCGACTGGTAAACGAGCCAGGAAGGCTTATGTCAATACCTCATACAGTTATAGTTACAAAAGTTATATTCATTAAGACATTATTAGGGGGCACGGGTGGCCCAGTCATCTAAGGCGCCGCGATTCGCTGCGCAGAGTGCGTCCCTTGGGCACGCCAGAAATCTTTGATTATGGCTTCGAATTCCGGTTCGCCCCGATTATGTTTCTAGGTTTGTCAGCACCATACCCGTGCTCGTGGGTTTCACCAAAATGGTAAACGTCTGAGACCTGCATCACTTCGGGCTTTCCTCCCACATTAAGCTGACACGTAACGATATAACTGGAATACTGTTAAAAGCGGCGTTACACCCAACGCACGCACTCACATACTCTCATTATGCAACATACTACATGATGATAAACGTTTGACAAAGGCAAGTGGTCTAGAACAACAGGTTGGTGCAATGAGTAGTATAAGATAAGTGTAGACCCGTGAAGATTTGGGGTAGAATAGGTCTTCAGCAACCCATGCCTGCCGTAAAAGGCGACTATGCTTGTTCTAAGAGGCGACCAACGGGTTCGGGTGGTCAGGCTCGCTGACTTCGTTGATGCATGTCATCCTATTCCAATAGCGTTGATCGACCGTCATGTAGCTGGAATATTTCTGTGTGTGGCATTAAACAACAAACAAACAAGCAGATTAGTGTTTATGCAGTATTTGTTATCCCTTCCTATTGTTTGTTAATTCTTAAAATTTGTTGTTCTTTGCGGCAGAATTAGATTTCAATGACACTGGCACGATTGCAATATCATGTTAGCCCATTCTTAATGAAAACATGTCTTCAAAACATACTTTCGAAATCCCGAATGAATGACTTTGAATAAAACATAACTGTCAAAGTAATAATTGCTATGAACAAACAAGTCCATTCGGAACACTGATACTCGTTGTTAGCGACAACGAAATTCAGTCATTCAGTCATTTGTCTGACTATGTTTACAATCTGCTGGATTACTAATAGATAACGCCTGTTGGTTGAGAGAAGGGACAGAACGGGGTGGTGTTGAGGGTCTTCTCTGTACTTTAACAGCACGTTTCAAGTGGATGACCCAAGTACCCAGCGTGTGTTGGGTAGTGTTTTGAACTGTTTTGTGATATTATGAAGGACACATATGACAATGACAAACTGCTCACAAATAGTGAATACGTGTACACTCCCGAAAAAAATATCTAAACGTGTGGTGTTACTCTGGGTTCTTGACTAAGTTCAAATGTGCCTCCGTTCAGCCAGGAGGGAATCGATATGTGAGACTTCCTTGCGTCTGTAGGCAGCATGTGTTATAAACTCCCCAGGGAGTTGAGAATGA